ATTTAAATGGAAATGAGACACCGGTCTGTATAGATTGAGGATCAGGTGCTTAATCAGCCTCTCCTCTCACTCTGTACTGTACTGTATGTGTGTGTGTGTGTGTGTGTGTGTGTGTGTGTGTGTGTGTGTGTGTGTGTGTGAATGCTCATTTTGGTCACTCGCCTTTCTTTCAAAGAGCTGTTTAAGGGTTAAGACTAGTTGTTACAGTTAAGAACTAAGTTTAGATTAAGGTCAAGGTTGTGGTTGGGGTTAAACATACTGTATGAGTGGGTAGTTTAGTAACTGTATGGTTTTTAGGACAAGGTCAAACGACATGTCATCTATCTAACAAAATGCACACATTCTTATGAGGGAAATCAGAGAGATTAATAAAAGCCTGGAAAGAATACAACACATTCCATTTGATTTATTTACAAACAGGGAGTGGAGGTAAAGGAAGAGTCTATTTATCTATCAGTGGTGTTGTTCAGAACTTGATCCAGAAGTTTTGGGTTTGTGTGTGTGTCTGTGTGTTTGTATTACTCAAGTTGTGGGGACTAGCTTCCTTTTTGGGGACACAAAATCAAGTCCTCACAATGTTAATTATTCCATTGTAGGGTTAAAACTTGGTTTGCGGTTTAGGTTATCGTTGAGACATTTAGTGATGGTGGTGAAGGATATATTCCAATGCAAAGTCCTTGTTGACTGATGAAAATAAATGGTGTGTGTGTGTGTGTGTATGTGAGTTAGGTTAATCTCCAGAAAATGAAGGTAAGTCAATGTAATGTCCATTTTGTGTGTGTGTGTGTGTGCAACACATTTTTCTTCTGGCCAAAAATGGTAAGGTGGACATCTGTGCATTCATGTATGTGAAATGAAGAGTTATTGAAGTGACTGTATTCATTCATACATGCATATCTAACCGCTTCCATATTTCAGTGTCCTAGGTCATCTCACAATTTTTCCTCTCCCATCTATCACCCAAACAAAGTTAATGCAAACAAAATCACCCTACAGCGCAGGACATTCTTTAAACTTTTTTAAAGTTCAAGATTACCATCTGCATCTGCAACGTGAAGAGAATTCTTTTCACCTTACATTTCTGAGAGACAATGTATGTTGTCTTACAGCAATGCCACCACTATTAACAGATTGCAGTACATCTGTTCACGAAAACACTCCCCTTTTCTCCGCGGTGGAGCAAGAGGTATAACAAACACAGATGGAGTTTTCCTGCCACAGGGAGCACCTGGAGAGAAACATGGTGGCTCTGAAGGAGAACATGATGAAAAACAAGTCGAGACAGAATGTCAACCTCTTGGCACTGTGCAGGTGACAGTGAAAAGCTGTTCTTGATACACAAATCAGTTGTTATAATAAAATAAAAAATGTGCCTGGTGTTTCAATGAAATTTTGCTTGTTAAACATTCCACTGCTGTATTAATTATCAAGGTTCTACTGAAAATATACTGAAAATATTTGAATGAAGTTATTTTTGGGTTTTCTTTCAGCAACTCAACAGGGACACACAAACACAATGTACAGCACATCTTGACATGACGTGGCCACATAATGCGCAAGTGAACCGGATCAAAAGGTAAACAGCTTTGCAGCATCGGAAGGAACATGCAGAAATCTATTCAATGTGCCAAACTGATGACGAGTGTCTGTAGTCTGCTGCCTAACCAGTGATTGGTCGCTGTGTGTGAGTTGTTTTAAAGAAAACATGACCTTTTCGCATAAATATTTTGAATAAAATATACTGCTGTGAGAATACATCAGTATAAACCTTCTACTTCCTGCTGATGTTTCAGCTTCCCTCTTTGGGGCCATTTGATGGCAGCCACTTTGAATTAATTCATTGTTGACTAGTTCTGTAGGGGGTCACATAATTCAACAGGGAAAAGAAAATGCTTTCAATAAAAGACAAAAATAAACAAATATGTCAGCTGTTAATGTAACCAAATGATAGACTGTGTTTGTTTATCGTCAGTCACCCCCCCTCTACTGTACCTCCCTGAGTGAGTTTGCTGGCTGGATCAACTGAAACACTGCTACGGCTGAAAGGAATGAGTGCATCGGCTAGCACCAGTAGTTGCAGATGCGAAAACGTAAGATCTGATTGCAAATGTTTTCGTTACAACACATTTCAAATATAGTTTACCTCAGCTTGCCTGATACTCCACAAGTTAACACTAACTCCAGCTTTGCTGTTAAATCAGAGGAGGAAGCTGCTCTCCAGAGCTTCCTCAAAAGCAGACATTTAACCACAGCATGCAGTACATCTGAGACACAGACTGAGAGGATTTTGAAAATAACTAGTTTGAACAATGTGTTTGCCGACCACGTCAGAAGGCAAAAGTGTTTAGAGCTGTTGCTAACGGCCACATTGCTCGGCAGGCTCCTCGCCCTGCCGTCATAGAGAGGAGGGAGATGCACATTTCCAGGCGGTTTTACCTGGAACCTATTCAAACAGTAGTGTTGCACTAGTCTGTACAAACAAAAATGGACTGTAGTGTGTATAAGAATGAAAAAAGGAAGCTAGAGAGAGAAGAGAAAACCCTACGTATACTCTCTCACTTCCATACACCTGGCAGATCACCAGAGGTAGGTGTGAATGTCGGATTGATGTAGGAAAGGTGTGAGTGAAGAGGTTTAAGATGTTCTATCATTCGACAAGCAGTTGTGTTGGAGTAAAGAGTACCTGGTGGAGCTGTCTGCTATCACAAATTAATTACCTCACTGGACACACTGCGTAGGATGAGCTTTTTGCAAAACTCACAAACCAGCCCTCGCTGTCAGACAGGATCAACTATCTGCCTGAATGGCTGTACTTTCAAATTATTTATTTAACAGCTATATTTTACAAATTAAACACATGTCCACTGTATCAAAGACAGAACAATGGAAATATAAAGGAAAAGCTCAGGATGGCATCGGGTTAAATTAAAATACTGCACTCATATAGTAGATCTAAACACATCACAGTAAACTAAACCTACATTCTGTATCAATGGGACTGATACCATCCTGGCAATGTTATAGCCAAAATCATATTTGTATACTTTACAGGTTTAGACGGATGCATAAACTGTTAATTTTTCACATCATTATGCTGCATTTCTAGGCTAAAGGGGATGCAAATAGATGTGAGGTTGGTACAGCCAAACAAAATCAATCAATAACAGCCATTGTGTCAGAGATGCCATGATCAATGTGTTACGCCACAGGGAGGCCATTTATTAGAACAAACAATTAACTGTGAAGGTATTTCTTCTCTAAAGTTGAAATGTACTATGTACTACAAACTGATGTACATATATTTATAATGAGCAAATAAAAGAGAGTTCTTGCATCCAGCCAGACTCCCGCATTCATTCTCCCACATACACAATATTGTATCCAACGCAACTACGCCGATCACTTCTTGTAAGCTTTGGTCTATAAATAATACCTTTCTGTTTGCACATGCCATTCTGTGGTAGCACCCCAATGTGCAAGTGACTAACTGTGAATGAAGCACTTGATCTATTTTTGGATCGTGGCCCATGGTGAGTATGACAATATCGAACCTGAAGAAGTGGCGGAGGAGGAAGCGTGCTGAAAGGGGGAGGACAATTCTGAATATGATCCAGAATCAACAGATGAAGAGGCACATTCCAAAACTATATATATATATATATATATATATATATACAGTATATATAAATATATGTTTATTTTTCAATCATTTCCTCATTCCAGCTTCCCGGTTGTGAAGTTTTGCGGTTTTTCTATGTCTTACATGATAGTGAACAAATCACATTTTTGGTTTTGGACATTTGGTCTGACAAACCAACCCATTTGTTAGCATCAGGGCTTAAGGAAATTATGATGGGCATATCACAATATAGAAAATAAGAACCTTCGCTCAACATGGTAAAAATAATTTTACTGGAACTGCTTTGATTAATTAATTGATTGATTGATTGATTGATTGATTGATTGATTGATTGATTGAGGAAGTGCCCTTGGTAAACTTTTGTCTCTACTTCTTCTAGATTTCACTGCGTTTTTGATTTAATAGATCGCACAATTCTACCTGAAAAATGTATTCATTTTGGCTTCAGTATGAATGCTATCGATTGAATGAAATCTTATTCAAGGAACTCGCCTCGGACCATTATTGTTTATTATATACACAAATGTTCTCCCCTTCATGTTGGCCAAGTCAAAGGTACATATGTTGGAGGGACACTGCAGTAGCAGATTCACAAACTCAGGACCATGAATATTCATTAAATGATTTTAAATGTGTTATAAAATGGGTGGAAAAGAATGAATAGGTATTCAATGTAAATAAAAAATATATATGCACTACAAGAAAGATGAAGAAACTGGGGCCATAGTATTTTGCATAGGGCAGCGTTCAAAAGAGGTTACAGAAGGTACATTATTTAGGAGTTTAGGAGTTGGAATGAAGTTGGCATAAATAATTAAATTAATCTATAATCTGTAACCTATTTTTTTCATAACGCTGGTCAGTTTTGGAAACACAAAGCTTTAAATAGGCTACAAGTTATACCACTAGCAGGAATACAATTGACAATACCTCTTAAAGTGCTTCGAACATTTAGATTTTAACATCTACAATTTCATGACAACGGGACAAACTCCATCTGCTGAAGATGATCATGTGATATAATCAAAAGCTCCAGAAGAGCTACTGGTACTGTTTCCAAGGTCAAGAATGAGCTTTCAATCTTAAAATCCCAAATAAAGTTTGCCTGTGAAGTGACAGATAGCAGAAAAACTAATTATGACTTTATTCAAACCATATCAATTAATCAATACTAGGCGTTATTGGTGAGCTTTGCACGGTGATTTTCTTCCTCCTTAGAGACTGAATGGGTTAAACCACTTCTGCTCTATATACAAAAAAAAGACAATGCCTGCAGCTCATCGGCTGATATCACAATTACAGTGTGGCTTTTATTCATAAGAGCTGTCACACCCCGTGTCATGTGCTGTGGTTCCCCACGGAGACCCTCGGCGGTGCGGAGGTCGATCCACCGACTCTCTGTTCCCTCCCATCGACGTCTCCTGCCGCCGTGCGCGGCCACACCTGCATTAAACGGGGAAAGTCCGTCCGGTGGAGAGGCAGAGAGACCGAAAGGCTTCAGAGAAGCGGAGGCAGGAAACGGAGCACCTTCATTTGCTCCTATCGCATTAGGCTACTCTGGACACTTTGATCCGAAAAGGGTGAAGGCAAGCAGGCATGCGACGATTGGTGGTACTGAGACTTTGCAACCGTGGAGGACACAGGGTGGGAAATTAGGATTTAAAACGAAATTGATCGGCACGATTAAAGAGACCGAGTGTGCGCAGCTGTGTGCAGGTAAGATACAGAAAGACAGGGACTGCCCCGTTATAACTTTTTCTAATCAAACACCTTTTCATTTTATCCAGTCGTTTTCTTTATTTTCATTTTAAACTTATTTTTGGGTAACATTTAAAGTTGTTATTAGCCTACTGAATTATAAGAATACATGGAGCCTATTTGGCACTAAATAACCTAGTGAGTTTTTACTGAACATGGATCACGTGGTGATATACAATAAAAATGTATAACGTTATTGTGAAATGCTGTAATAACTAAAGGTCACTAAAATCATGCATTTGTTTACCTACAGCCCAGTATGTTGGTGTCTTTATATTCTCTTTTTTGTCTTTAGGCAAAGGGTATAAGAAGGTTTGTTTATTTTATTTTGTTTTATATATTTAATCTATAATTGACTGATGTTTTAGTATTTCTTTTTTTCATGTTGTATTATTAGTATTCGTGTTAATTTTTATTTTTATCAATGTCTTACTACATCAAACTTCACATATCTTCAAAGCCATCCAAAGTTTTGAGATGAAAAGCAATCTGTTGCTTGTGAGGACTTGCTGGAAGCCTACAATATTGATACAATTGTGACAAAATCCATATTTTACTCACCACTCACTCTAATGTTCTAACCTGCAACTGAGTTATAAAGCATAATGAATTAATGCATTAGCAGACAATAATGTATATTCAGAAGCACCTAAATACATCTATTCTTAATTAAAACAGAATTATATGCTAACTGGGTTATCGTGACACTTTCCCCCCAGTAGTAGCAATATAACATTAGTGTGTTCTGGACTTTCCCCGAACGAATGAGTTGACAAAGGCATCCACATTAAAAACAAGGAAGTAAAACATGTTGACACTGTATCACACCCTATAACCTTTGTACCATCAGGATGGTCCACAGTTATCAAGTGCACATAATACTGTGTAGCACTGTAGATCATCAAATCACTGGCTACTGTCGTGTACTCTGGGTTCAGTTTTGCTCCATTGTGGAAAATTCATAAACCACAAAGGGAGGACGTGGTATCAATACTCTATTCAAGTTATTGCCATTGGAACGGATCAATACACCCTCCATGCATGACCCCCTGTGACGCCTTGCTCGTATAAATACGCTGTAACTAATCTAAAGACCAAAGATAAATCATGACAGGGCATCTGAAGTGGCTTACACACTGTCAGTCTCTACACCAAATATACTTTACAGATCAAACACTCAAAAACAAGTCAGGCCGAAAACAACATGTGATACATGTGATTAGAAAAGAGCCTGGAGTCAACACAGAGCGCTGGATGAAAGAACAGGAGGAGGAAAACAAAGTGAATTGGGGAGTGTGTGTGTGACCGGGCAAAGTGGAGGAGTTATATGGAGAGGTCTGTATAGGTGAGGTGTGTGTTTGTGTTTGTGTGTGAGTGTGTGTGACATGGATGCCAGACAAAGAGTGGAGTAGACAGTAGGACAGAATCTTAAATATCCCGAGAGGTGTTTTGTTTCATAGTCAGCAGATACAGAGTCAGACATGGAGTGTGTTTTCAATACCAGCTGTACCGACTGTCCACCTCTGTCCCTCGGCCTACAATGTATCCACCTGTAAGCATAATCAATTCAATTCAACCAATTCAACATAATGAGACTTGGTAAAGAATGACATTGGCCAAGACATGTTTGTGTTTGGGAGAGTTATTCTCTCTCAAAGTGCTAATTATAATTTTAGACTGAAATGTTTCATGACAAGACACGCTTTGCGAGGCTGTCCTGCGCTAAATGCTAACATTAGCACGCTAATATGGATTCACAAAGATATGCTGATGCTTAACATGTATAATGTTGACCATGTTTACTTCCTTAGTTTAGCTTGTGAGCATAGCATTTGCTAATTAGCACTAATCACAAAGAGCTGAGGCTGAGAGAAAGTCCTTAGTTCTTTTAGGTATTTGGCTATTTCTTAGCCGGGACAAGTAGTAGTCTGGCACATAACCCCCTGTAAAACAGGGAATTGATTTTTTCACCTAAAGTATTAATTAGTGAGCTTTAGATGTGTTGGTAGGCAGATTCCATTACCTTGTTTCCTTAATGCTAAGCAAAGCTAATCAGCTGCTGGCTCTAGCATCGTACAGACATGAGAGTGCTATCAATCTTCTCTGTCAGCTCTCTGCAAGAAAACAAATAAGTCTCAAAAGTTCACCAAAATTATTACAAATTATCCTTTGAGGTATAATAAATAATCAATTTTCATGGCAATCCATTCAATTAAGAATTCAGAAAATAAAATAAAAGCGGGACCATCAAAGTCAGTGTTTCATTCTCCAGGGAACATTAATGTCTGTACACAATTTCAAACCACTACTTTTTCAACCTAAGGTGCTGCTGCAGTAAAGAGACTTCATTTCAGACAGTCAACAAATAAGATAGACAGCCAGACATTGAGCCAGCCATCTCATTCATTACAATCATTATCGCTAGACAGCCAATATCAAATTAGAATATGCTGAATATCACCTCTGAACCCACAAGAGGAAGGGAGGAGGGCTAAAAAAAAGACAGAAAAAAAGAAGGCAGCCTCTTTCCCATCGTCAGCAGGAGTGAAGCAGAAGGGGACCAGCATGTTAATTGGTGATTTGATTAGCGTTTTAATATTGCAGCTGTGCACGACAGAGGAGAACAACTGGCTGCTCAGAGGTTTTCTTTTTCTTTTTTCATAATCAACAGTCACTCCTCCATTGCAGGGACCGACACAGCTTAAATCAGCATTTATTTGCTGTAGTTTGGTGATGGAGACTATTTGAAGGAAGTAGAAATTCAAGCCATTTTGAGTTGGGCCCAGCACATAGGAGCCCCATTTGGCTCCTGCCATAGTAAACAGGCTGAATGTGACCCAAAGCCTTCATGCTAAACTGGACTGAGCTGGGCTACAATTGTGTCTACTGAGAGGAGCAAGCTCCATTAACAAAATGTGAAATATCATATTAGATAACCTGTTGAAAATGCTTTCTGCACACTTACATGAATAATGTTTGGTTTATCCGGGTTAATGTGTGGGTTAATGTGTGGGTTAATGTGTGTTTGTGTTGGGAGCAGGCAGCAACCTCCGGGTCTAAGTGAAGCCAATGCAGAAATGCTTTCTTTCAATTAGCCAGCTGGGGGCGACTCCTCTAGTTGCAAAAATAGAACTTTATGAAAAAGTGACCCGACTTTTCACTTAATTTATTACCTCAGTAAACATGTTAATCATTAGGTTATGGTCTCAATTGCTAGTTTTAAGTCTTCTTAAATACAGCATGATGTTCAGTTTGTCTGTGCTTGGGGTTTAACAATACTGAATAACTTTGTAGGTAGATGAAGATGTGGATTTGTACTGCTGGGAATGATGGCGAGTAGACACAAGAGGGGATGAGGGGGTAATGACACCACAGTCTCTGTGAAAAAACAATGTAAACACCACAGCATGAAAACGGGTGCAGCACACTGTGTATATGTATTTGCTTGAATGCTACAGGGGCTTTGACTCAGGCAGCATTACCTGGAGCCAGAGGGGGATATGTGGCAAAGACAAGTAATCCCCCTGACCCTATGCACACAACTCTCTCTCCGACACCAAAACGCCAGAGCAGACAGCAGAGAGATAATAGGTTAGCAGATAAAGGAGAATTGGTGGTGAGAACGAGGAGCAGAGGAGAGAGGTAGAACAAAGCAAAGAAGGCGTGGAATGCTAGGGAGATAAGGAAGATTGGAGGGGGGGGGCATATAGAGATGAGTGTGGGCCTGTTTTTGTGTGGATAAGGTGTCAGAGGGGGGCAAGTCTTGGCTGGTCACACTGTTTGGGGTGATGCTGTGCCATAAGCTGAGAAATGAGCTCTCTCAGAAAGGGTGGAATTAAACCATCTGAGAGGAGCCAGAAGTCAGAGGGAGAATTTAAACAGGAGAGGTCTGTTTAAAGTCTTCAGCAATGTCTATGGCCGTTAAGATTAAGAGTGTACAGTCATGCTAGTGTGCAGCATGCTAACATGCTCACAATGGCATTATGTCCTCTGTCGACCATGAATGTTTGCACAAAATTGTGTGCCAATCCATCAAGTAGATTTTTAGATCTTTTTTACTAAATATGTGAATACTTTGACTTGCTGTTGTCGCTGGATGAACAGTCAGGGGATCATCAGACTCATTAGGAATCATCCTTTGAGGGCCATGGAATGTCTGTACAAAATTGCATGGCAATCCATGCAATGTGTAATTGTTGTCTAACGCCATATTGCTGTGTTTGAGTGGCTCTAATTTTGATTGGGCCATTGAGTCAGACAATCCAATAAAAGACAAATAGTTTCTAGAGATGAAACGTCTTTCAGATTTGAACAAATTGATGCAATTTCTGTTGGAGGGATATAAATTGTAAGCCATTGGCAGAACAGGGGAGGACTATAGATAAGCCCTGCAAAGCTGAGCCATAGGTGAGTTTACTGTACAGAATGTGCAGCCGATGTAAAGGTCTTTCTTTCTCCCTCTCTCTGTCTTAGGTTTTCCCTTGTGATCCCTGACAGAGCGAGGACAGTGACACTGACTCGGCCATTGTCTCCTCACTGTTTCCGGTCAGAGGGAGCCTCCGCGGGTGCCTCTGCTGTCCATTGTGACTGTAGAGAAGAGAAGTCTGGAAAAAGACCCTATTAAGCATAATTTCTCTTTGCCCGCCCCTTTTGCAAACCCAGGAGCAGCAGTGAAGTATCAGCACTATCCCTAGCCCCGAGCCTATCCCTCCATCCTCAGCCCCATCACCTCTAAACCCCTTATCCCTATCACACTCCCTCAGCCCCTTCCCTTTCTCCAGCCCCAGCTTCAGCCTCAGCCTTTGCCCCATCGGAGTCCCAGATGACAGCTCAGAAACATCCGTTACCCTCCTACTCAACACAAGCCTTCTTTCCTCTCCCTCCAGCCCCCGTGGCGCTTGGCACCAATGCCCATCATATAGACAGATGGAGCCAACCCTGACCCTTCTCCTGGCCCGTGGGGACGCTAAGAGAATCAACGCCTGACTACAGGACAGTGGGGGTGGTGTGTGAGTGTGCGTGGGGGGGGCGGGGACAGGAAGGACAGAGGAAGAGCGTATTGCTTTGTCACCACGGCAACACATCGCCCAATCTCCCGTGGACTCCCCTTCAGCCCACAGCAGGAGTTTCAAAACCCCCCAAATTGTGCCTGACATATTGTTGCTTTGATTATTTGGCAGAGATAACTGGCTCCATGTTTGTGTGGAGAGAAGATGCGAACATTGGCAAAATTCTAAATATTGCAAACATCATTTAAAAGAAACAGGAAACCAGAAGAAGACTGATCTAAAAACGCTGAAGGAAAACACACTCCTCAGTCGAAAGTGTTGTTTAAGTTTCACTCTAAGCCCCACATTTTCTTTTCATTATTACCATTTTTACTGGCAAATTAACACGCGGGAGGGATTTTTTTCAATTTTTTCATTGTGCTTCCCACACTTCAATAAGGCAGAAGAAGCAATTCCCTGAGAGCAATGAGGAGATTCATGTGGGACTCAAGTCAGAGCATCCTAAGGTGTGCATGCATACCTTTATCCAAGCTGTAACGGTGTGCATTACACCTCTGCTACCTAGTCCCAACATGGACTTTGTGTCAAGGCATTTTCAGTTTCATTCTCCTGACTAGAAGCAAGGTTTTGGCTACTCAACTTTCACTGGATGTTGTTGCCGTCTTCTAACCTAGTCTGCTGACCGGCATTTGGATTAGCATATGATGCCATTCTAGAAATTTTAAAAGAACCACGTATCAGCAATAAAATGAGACACTAATGGCCAGTGAAGTGATTTCAGCGAGCTGACATAACAGAGGGGGGAATACCGGAGTCCCAATGCTTCCCAGGTAATTGGAGTGCAGCATAGTGTATTTACTCCAAAGCACAGGTCCTCTGGTGACCTTGCAGGCTGAAAACCTAAAGGAGGCAGACACAGGAAGAGAATGATTTGGGATTTTTCATCATTACTCTCAGTGCAGTAGCATAACAGAGAACGTTTGGGCAGTTTGCGTGTCTTCAGTCATTTTCGTTTCGACTGCAGGGTTGAGCGCCAGCACACACATATTATTCTTGTCAATTAAAAGAAACGCATTTAGGCTTTTCTTCAGAAAGAGCGTCCGTTTCAAATAATTTGTGATAATGACCGCTGGTGATCTCTACAGCCTCTGTGAGATACTTTAGACAGTGAAATGTGCTGATATAACCATCGTTTTTTCATGAGCAAGTAACTGTCAAATTTATTGGAGTTTTCCCTTTGATTTTGCAAGAGTCTGGGTTGTCATCAACTCCCCTAAAGAAAAGATAAAGAGGATCAATAATGCTGCTTTCTTTTCTTATTCATATTTCATAATGAGAAACAGTAGCAAGTTTCCAATGTGTTACAACAGCATGTCAGTGGATCCGTATTTATGGATATGCAAAGAGCGTTGTGTGAAAATTCACAGCTACGGTGTAAAAATTCATCGATAGATGTAATATATAAGGGAGGTTTTTGATGCACGGGTGTAGAAGACTGAAATGTTTCCTCTAGAATAAAGGTCGCCTTTAGAGTGTGCAGGAACAACGAACGTGTGTAGGTTTAGTGGGAGATGGATCTAATAAGGCACACGGTACACTATCAATTTGAGACATGTCGGGTTGTGCTATGATTGGTGGTGAATCGTAATGCTATGATGTAAATTGAGAAAAATATATATCCTTTGCATCATCCATCTGTACAGCTTCACAAGGTTTCCATCTTTGCCAGAGTACCACCAACTTATTTTCTGTGTAGGTCTGTGTGGGTTCTCTCATGATTGTCAACCCAAAATCACACAGTGTACGGGGGCCTTTAGCGACTTCAATTCCCGATGACCAGAACGCTGTGGTATCTTGGAAAAACAAAGTCATGAGGAGTTTTGTAAATTGTTTGTGTGTCCTTAACTGTTTTCTTGTACTTAAAAGGAGGCCAGTGGAGAGTAAAGCAGTTAGTCAGTGCTTTTGTAAAGATATTTATGAGGCATTTATGACACGGCTCACATGACAGAGTCTAGAGGTCATATAAGTGATAAAAGAGGAAAGGCAGACGCAGTCCAGTAGTTTTGTTTGTGTACGTTTCTATGGGAAGCAGAGTGAGAAGCACATCATGGAGTATGATATACAAGTGTCGTTAAGGCTCCGATTTCATCTTATGACCTTTGTTGCATGCCGTCGCCTCTCGCTCCATCACCTGGCTGTGTCCGTGCTTCACTTTACTTTGAGCTATCTAATAAAACGGAAATTAATCTTTCATAAACTGTATGAAGGGAGGTGGTATTTTCAAACCTTTAATAAGCCAAAGGGGTTTATAGTGGTGGAGTATCACATATATTGTTTTTGTCACCTTAACACCCTTGGCGCCTCAACCTCAGACACAAAAAACCACAGACACACACCTCAATTACTGTGCTATTTCTGTGGTGCTACCTGTCGGTGACACTGAGCTCAAACCAGCTGGGATTAATTAGTGATTCAACACACACACACACACACACACACACACACACACACACACAAACTATCATCCATCAGATACAGGATGTGAAAAGCTTCCAGAACAGCATGTTGCCAATAAACACCCCTCCTTCTCTGCTGTAATTACCTCGCTCTTCATTTCACACCTTATATATATATGCACCTCATATCGCCCTGTGTCACAGTGTTACCGCTCTGCCTCAGCACAAGGCCATACCTCTCCACGCTAATAAGAAATGTTATTTTGCATTTAGTTTATAGTCTTTTCTAAACAGGCTGGATAAATCTGATGGAAATGTGTTTCTGTCACCGCATTTTAACTGCTTTCTAGAAGTGCCAAAGGTTGAAAAAAGGAAGCAAAACAAAATATTCTAGTTTAAATGTGAGATCATGTTCTGCCTGTTCAGATCGACATATTCATTTTATTTTGTAGATCGGTGTTTGTGTTAGCAATATTGACGGCCGGTGAGGACAAGCTGTTACTCCTGTCAGCCTGTGTTGGGGCGTGTGGGCCTGGGCCGCACACTGCTGACTTTAATAGAAATATAAGCGCTGACAGGTTTGAAAAGACAAGCTGTCGAAAGCCATAACCTTGAGGGTGTGTGTGTGTGTGTGTGTGTGCGCGCTTTATATGTTTACATGATTGTGTTATAGGGGTGTGATGAGGTTACGAACTACAGTAGAGATTAAATATGCTGAGGTAAGGCAAAGACTAAAGGAAGAGCCGAGGGGGAATAGAAAAGAACATATTAGAAAATAATTAAGTTTGCAGGTATGATGAGCCTTTAACAGATATGTGGTAAAACACATGCGAACAAGCAGTACAGATCAGTACAGAATATGCACACATATTAGAGAGAAAGATGAACTTGGCTTAAGATACAAACGGGGGGTTTCATTGGGTGAGCTAGTTTGGGAGGATGAGAGAACCAAAATTTACATTTGTGCATTCGCTGTTTGATTCTGTGTGTGTGGATGGGCATTATTTATTCTATCAGCAGCTGATGCTTGTTTTATCCTGCCAGTGTAGTGGCAACTCATTAGCATAGTGATAATGAGAGATAGAAAAGGTTGCCAGTGTCAGCACACTTAGTTTTTTACACTGTCAAAGCAGCAACTTTGAATCATCAGAGAAACTGTGTGTATGTGCGTTTGTTTGTTTGTTTGTGTGTGTGTGTGTGTGTGAGTGCATCTTTGGTGTGATGGATTGTTATCCATCTTAAATACTGCAAAGATACACAAAATAATATTTTTAAAGAGCACATTGACACCAGGCTGAATGGTGTTTCAGTGACGCATGTCTCACCACGCTCTGCATCACTGTTGGCTGTGGTCACATGGATGCCCTATAGCACCCACCTGTAATGCAAAGGTGCATTACAGGTGAACAAACCCGGGGGATGCACTTCACCACAACAGGTTAACTGAAACTACTGGACTTTAGCGCAAACAGGATTTTTAGTAGGTGAAGTTACAATTTAACTTGGCTTCTTCAGAACACGGTTTGCAAAACAAACAGATGTTAAACTTGCATTTCTTTGTTGAAAGAGCACATGAATGGTCGGAACAAAGAGAGTTTAAAGTCCACATTTTAGTGCTCATGTAAAACCAGTCTCTGTGTACCTTGACGTAACTGAGCTCAGCTACTGAAACTGGCTAAGCAACCCTTAAACTGTGCGTTGTGCTGGGTTTAGGAATGAAGGATGGGAAACCAGCGTCCGTTTCTTTCAACACGATGTTTTGTAAAGTGCACTATATCATGTTATGTGATACATTTTGAGATGTTTAGATGTATTACACCCTGCTGTTACAATTCATAGTAACATTTCAATAAATACATTTTATACGTAGTGAGCTAATTAACTTACCTTGGGCAATACGCTTATAAATTACAAAAAACTGCTGTAAATTGTGTACATGGCAAGGGGAATCACACACTGCACAAACCCTGATACATCTCTATCTGTCTTCTTCAGGTGAATGCTGCCGCCCTGGAAAATTCCATACTGGAAATTCTGCCGATGTTTGGATTCTTTGCTCTGGATGTTGAAGCTGTAAGGAGGATTTGGATCCACTTCTGTATCCAGTCAGTGTGAGCTGTAAGGATTTTCATTCACACGGGACCAAGCGACCTAAACCGATATTGTGGAACCTTTGAATGCAGACTTGGGCGGATAAAACACTACAATACGCTGAGCTCAGTCAAGTGTCTTAGTGCATTTGGTGCATTACATTTATTTTGTCTGCACATTTGCCGCCAACTGAATGAAATAAGAACTGAAAGGATTGTTTGGTGGATTCTGTCTTCTTTGTGGTGGTTGAGGCAACCTCATTGAGCAGGCTGGGAGTGGCATCAGGATGCCTGAACTGGAAAACTTTGCCCCACTGAGAAGTCCGAGAGGCCCTGAGCTGGTTTCAAATGCTCCAGCAGACCCACTACGGATTCAGCACAGCATCCTGGAGGAACAGGTGGAGCTGTGGTGGTTCAGAGATCCTGGGAAGTCTCTGCTCTGCTACTGTGTGGCTGTACTTCTAATCCTGGGCTGCGGGCTGGGCGGGGTCGGCCTTCTCTCCACCACCACCAGCGTCTCAAGCGAATGGCGGCTGGGCGTGGGCACGGCCCTCTGCTTGCTAGCCCTCGGGGTCCTGCTCAAACAACTGCTCAGCTCAGCTGTGCAGGACATGAATTGCGTTCGAAGCCGACAGCGGATCAATATGCTAAAAAGCGGCGGTTTATCTGACCTGCTTGTGGTTTTTATTACAGGGCTGTCATTGTTGATTTGTGGAGGGGTTCTACTACACCTGGCACTGGCTAATCACATGCCAAAGCCTGGCCAAGCCCTTAATGATATGTACATCTCTGGAGTGGTTCTGCTAGCTGGAGGGGCAGCTGCAGTTGTAGGTGTTGGAATATACTCTGTTGCGGTCGTCCTGCTTGAGAGGACAAGGCACGGACGAAGATTGGTGGACCAGGTTTTGAATATCTTCACTGTTTCTGGACACATGGACCGTCAGGCTCGCAGAGAGACTACCTCCAGTCTGGCTAATCTCATATGAGACGTAATCACACTAAGACTGTGTATTTTGTCACCTTGCGCTTTATGTCAGAACATTTAGCCTCAACTAAATCATAGCAGGCTTAATGCCAAAATATTACGAGAACAATGATTAAAACAAGATTCATCCCTTACATGCTTCAGTTTTGTCACAAGCTGATTAGACTCGGTGCGAGGCAAAATGAGCTGATTTTTAAATATCTTCTTGCATTAAGCAATCAAATCTCAATTCCATCGAAGAGTAAAACACTGAAGAATTACGACATGGCTATGCTCAAAATACAAATTTGAATGCCCCAATTTAGATTTCTTTCTCAACATGTGACCAGTTACAAATTCAGATGCTGTGGCATTTCTTTTTCACATGAATGGCATTTTATTCAAGTTCTGTGAATTTTATCTATAATTAGGCTAATTATCTTACCAACGAAGACACCAACGAAAAATAAGTTTTAATTAAAGAAGTTGACTCAGGTGGTAGAGATTCAGTAATGAAAAGCAAATATCAGCTGAAACTTCTAAAACTAAAGGGAGAGGTGTTGGTTTACAAACAGAAGTGAAATATTGTATGGCTATCAGATTGGTGCAGCTGTCAGTAATTGAACAGAAAGGCCTGTGGTGTGAGCCTACATTAAAATGATCATTTGGTTTATATAAAGCTCTTCTACACAAATGGTGTTCATACAAAAAGTTGTGAGACTACACAGATGAAGAGACAGAAACCTTGTCAAAGTTGACACAAGAGAACGATTAGAGTGTTCATCTACAAATTGGATTGTCACACATTCATGATCTGTTATAATACGTATCCTGTAAAAGTGTCTTTGGGCCACACACCACTCCCTGCTCATTGTAAGATAATATGGATAAGAGCACCAGCTGATAGGCTAAAATGTAAACTGCTGAATAAGTGAATGAGTGATAGATGAGACAAAATAAATATATATAAAAAAACATCTTTTAAAAATGTCTTTATGATTCATGCACCGCCCTCAGTCTGTCCATGTTCACATAAAGATAGGAAAATAATCAGCTGACAAATTTCAGGGATTTGAGGATGGTCAATAGCTCAGTAAAGCTAAAGTCTAGCTGATTGGAATGACTTCTCCCTCTGATCTCATTTCCTCAGCAAAATAATAATTTACTATTACACATGCAGAAGCACAGGGCTATGCTGTTTGTGACGGACGTGGTCATTTGGCTGCCTGAACACATGATACAAGACAATATGATTGTTGAAGAATTATATCACAGCACTTCAGAATGTACGGATACTTTGTGTTTTTGTGCATCAACACAGTATTAATCTTGTTTTCTTCAAGCCTGCTGTCATCTATTTTTGTCAAATTACTTTGTGTAAAGTATAATGGCCACTCGTTGTTCTGAAGTCATGGAGAAACACAAATCGCTTCAGCTCCAGTGAGTTTTCTTTTAGCTCTTATTTATATGGATGAGTCTCATTGCTCTCATCAATCCGTGTTGGCAAACATTTTCAGCAAAAAAGTTAAACTCCGCTGTACACCACTTACCCACCACCAAAGGGCAAACGACAAAGTAGCCAATGAACTAGCATCTTGATGGCTAAAGATCCAAATATTTTCTTTTGGTGGAAACCAAATTAGAGCTAAAAGCACCATGATTAGCGACTGGACTTACATTTATAATGCAAAGTCTACATGTCAATGAGCCTGCTGAATGTTTAGGGAATGAGGATCATAAAGAGAGTTTGGACTTGTCACTGTCAATTCTTTCTACTTCAGAAAGAGGCGTTTCTAATGAGATGTTGGAGATAGTCCTGGTGCATTCTGGGAAGTTTTAAGGGGACATAAAATAAACAAGATGACATAAAACTGAACTAATGAATCTATGCAGTTGCTGTGTTTGCTAACACATTTGCCACAAGAGGTTAAGATGGTGATATGGTTTGTCAGCTTGATCTTATACCCTCTGATGCCTAAAAAGTCATTAGTGTAGCTTTAAGCAAGCTGGCAAGAACGCAAAATGAAGGATAGTTGCAATTTTCCCATTTGTCAATTTGGGAAAATGTGACATAAAAAGACTTCGAGTCCTTTTACAAGATAGGTTTGCAAAATCTAATACCGGGGCAACATTTACAGAACGAGTGAGAGGATGAGTCAGCAGCACAATTCCTTTGACTCTAAGTTAAATTGGTGTGTTTCTAGTGAGAGTAACATCAAGTTATTTAAATCCCTGAAGCACTTCAGTAAAAGAAAGGATGCACATTATTTTGATTTGGATCAAGGTGAAGAATCTCAGTAAATATGACTCATTGGTTTAAAAAAAATGTTTTTCATTTACGCACGAGGCTTTAGTTGGGGGTGAAAATTGTAGACCTAGCAATTCTGATTCATCCGATGTATTATTGGCCAAGATATCAGGCCATCATCATTTCTGAAAAAGCAGAAAAGGAGAAATAACTGTTGGGTGCAGGAAAAATCTGTGAAATTAAATCCATTACATCCACATGGCCAGTCATAGAATTTCAATGCACTTGCAAAGTTTGAGCTGGGTTGTCAATATGCTTCATCATCTTTCACTAAATCATGTGAATTTACAGTATGCTGACAATGCTGCATTGTTATTATTGAGTCTCATTTGTTTCCAGAAGTGTAGAAACATTCACTTTCAAAGCAAAGAGATACCACTATTAAGAAAAGCTGTGCACAGTGACAGCTATTGAAGGTGATTTGTGTTTATAAAATGTTTCCAAAGCCTTTGAGAGTTATTCCTCACATCGCCTTACAGAAGAGCCTCAGAGAAGGTCCTGCATTGTGTCTCATAGTGAGTGTATGTGTGTGTGTGTGTGTGTGTGAGAGTCAGTCACGCCTCTTTATCTGTCTCCACATACGCACAGCCTATTGCCTTGAGACAAAAGGGGTCACACAGTTAAACATTGTTGGAGTGATGACGGACAGCAAACTGAAGGCACAATGCACAAGGCAGCGGCCTGGTGGGGCTGGTATGGACTAGCACCACTCTCTCTCTCTCTCTCTCTCTCTCTCTCTCTAACACTAACACTAACACAGACAAAAGCAAGGTTCATGCTGCTTTTTTACAACACGCGTAGAAATACTGTAATCCTTACACAAATCTGCCTTTTGACCCACAGTATAAAGTAGCAGTGGCAGGTTGTGTATCCATGCATGACAGCAATAAGAGGTGAGCAGAGCGAAGAGGGAGGCAGCTCTACTGAGGAGAGGACTGAGTGGGAGGAGAGAGCTTTTCTGCCGGGCGGTGAAAACACAAACAATTTAAACCAGACAAAATGTGTCTGCTACAACGTAGTACAAGTTAATGATTCCAAATGTATATATTTCTACTTGCATTACAGTATACTTATGACATATTTTGGCATTTCCAATGCTTTCACGTGTTAAAGCGCAGTTTTGGTTTTTGTTGTCATCGATCTGCTAAAGGTATTGTTTTGGTAAATTCATAAACTTTCCTGTTGACTTAAAGCTGGTGTCGACAACATGTTAACATGCACAAAATATTTGCCTATGTTCTGAAAACTATATTTCTACTAAGCTCTTTACATGGCTAATGAAATTGAATATTCCACTAATGTTCCTGTTCATACGCAGCCGTGCATACTCAGATCAACGTAACCGGTGGTGGACTTGTTATTCCTTCAACCACCTTCTTGAAAGTCATACAAAATGTTTTTCTTCTTTTGTGAGGGCATTTGATTTATTGATCGCTATCGGGATAATTTCAACAAATATAACAAAAAAGGTTTTTGAAGAACATTTCCAACCCTATACATCAAAGTATGTTGTTTAAGTGATCTGATCTGCACCGGTATGACCGTTTGACTCACCTATAGCTATATCTTTCCTAATTGTGGAATGGATTTTGTTATCTTTGGAAAGAATCAAGCTACCAGTTTAAAGACCAGTTTCCAGTCTTTATGCAAAGCTCAGCAAACTAATTCAACTTTCCCCCCAAATTTCAGAGTATACCTGCATTCCACTTCAATGCATCAAAACTGCTTTAGAGCTCCTCAACTTTAAAAAAAACCCCGTTTAATTATGTTAAATCTGAAATGTATTGTTTTTAGTCAAACTCCCTGTATATGAGATGGGGTTAAATATTTATAGACAGCGCAAAGCAGATCCGTCTTAAGTCAAATTGTTGATATGCTACATTTCAGAGAAGCAGTTCATCATATTATTTATCCATCATCATTTGGTGAAACAGTCTATAACTACATACCAAAATGACTCTTACAAACAAAAAAAAAAAAACAATAGTATTCCAAAACAACATAGAAAAAAAGTTTATTTCCAAATATATCCCTTTGCTTCCTATCGACAAATAGTAGTTGATCAATTAATGAAAACACATGAGAACACACACTTATTAACAATCCTCATTGGTGTCAGAAAAATGTCCCCACACAAGATAATGATAATATAATAAGATAAGACAATAGCACAACGATTGTTTTGTGCTTCACAGCAGAAATGCTATAAATCGACACAGAACTCTCTTCTTTGCTGGTGGCAGAGCAGCTGAACTGATATGGTGCAATGCATGCACAACAGACAAAGTAAATCACAACACAAACTGCTTTGAAGAAGTGTATGGGCCTTCAGAGGTCAACATATATAAAAAAAAAAAAAAGAGTTGTGGAAAAACAATTAGTTTAAGATATTGTCAATACTCTCAGAATCCCTGCAGGTTATTCTACCTTTGTACGGCCCCCCTCTCATCAACCCCTTGTTTTGCCCTTCAAACATCCACAGGGGACTTACTAGAACATTACAAACAATAGATAGAAATATGACAAACAATTCTGCACCGGGCCCATTCCTTCGGTCTCTGCCTCGAAGCTGCAAGCTGATTTCGAGCACAAGGACAAGGTTACAGGCCCCATGAGAGCACGTTGACGGTATTATGTTACACTGCCAACGCTTCTGACAATATTGTGTCTTATTAATCATTAATCTGGATGCTGGTGCTAGTTTCAGTGCACTGGGGATTGTGTTCACAGCACTAAAGCTGATGATACATAGGCAATTTTTAAGGCAATGAATATATAATATAAAGGTTCCTACAAAACATATGTCTTTGAGAGGGAGGCAGATTAACAACAGAGTCAAATGTACTGTGTATGGATCATAAAGCGGTTATTAAGGACAAAACATATGAGGAGTAAAAACCCTTGCAGTTAAAGATGCTAATGCTGATGTGGCAAAAACAATCCCTACAGAAAAGAATAAAACCTGACAGAGTGCATGGCACACTTTTGATTCAGAAAAATCCCCCATCTGCTCTTCCTTTGAGCAATAAAGAATTGACAATGACCCATCACAGTTACTGTATGTTGGCACGACACAATCTTTTGGTTTGCATGTTATACAGTAAAAAGCTACACATCTCAGTGGAGAAGCCAAGCACCCAAAAAAGATAATTCTTCAAATCGTATATTTCGTAATATTTCAAAATGCGCAAAACATGCTTCAAAATGTATTTCCCTCCAGAATTTAGCTCTAAATTAACCTCGGAGAATATCACATGAAAAGCGAAGAAAGGAGAACTTGCCAGAACCAAGCGGCGTCACAAAGTTATTAGTTCATTATTAATATATTAAAACGTTTTGCTGGAGTCCTGAGGAGCCCTTAAAAAAGTCACAGGTCAAAGGTGATGCAACAGCCTTTCCCATCTGAGTTGAGCATGTCTTAGAGGAAGGGATGATGTCTGGTTTCCGTTCAGAGCAGGAAACAATTACATGTGTCGTCCTGCGCTTGACCTCTGCTGTCCATTGCAGACGGGGAGCCAGAGAAACAGAGGAGGAGAGAGAGGAAGACAGACAGAGAGAGACAATATCCATTCGTCTAGCAGCATCTGTGCCCTTTACTTTGTCCGGAGCTGATAATCTGCCAACAAATGTAACAGCAGAGCATTAACGCAGCTTTCCTCCTCTTATCACTCCTGCACATTACATTACTGCCAATGAGCCCCATTAAATCCCTAAACAAGATTTACACAAACTATCTGTAGTGGAACTCTACTAAATCACAATCCCGATATCTACCACGTTCCTGTCTTGGATATTTAATTCTCTGCCGTTTCAGACTTTGACCGATCATTTCTAAAACTCACATCTATTATTATGAATATTAGTTATACATCAATCCTAAATTGGCAAAATCAGAGATATGCATATTTGTATCAGTACTGTCTAATAATTAACAACAATACATGGCCAAAAGTATGTGGTCACCCCGTCCACATATTTTTGTGTACTTTTGATGGCGGTCTATTTTTCATGGTTCGAAGTAGACACCTTTAGTTACAATAAAGGCAAATGTCAATGCTACATGATATATTAGACCATTGTGTGTTCGTTTTGGGGAGGAACCATCATTATTAGTTACTGTTTGAAATTGTATTATTAATGTATCCCCAATCCCCAATTGCATGTTGTACAGAAAACATTTTCATACACATTGATGCTTGAAAACACCGACATGCCAGTATCAAAGATCCAGCAGCAGTGTGATGCTGCCCGATCCTATTCTGACCACTGGCAGTCTGATATTTGTGAAGTAGTCACTTACTGCTGTACAGTACGGCTGCTAAATGCCTGTTCATCACTCATTAATAAGTCAGCAGTCAGTCTACAGTATCAAGGAATTGTTTAATCAGTGACAGTGTGTCTGCAAGTAGTGCCGAGTGAAATGTGATCAGCCCCGTCTTCTCTCCACCTCTCTCCCCATGTTGCTGATGGTAACAATAAGAGAAAGGCGATAGCATTCTCTCCAGTCCCCCCGACTTTATCACTCTTCTTTCTCTCACTCCTACCTTCCTCTTTTCTATCTCTCTCTCTTTTTTTGCTTCCTTGCTGATGTTACAGCAAGGCGATAGCATCCACTGAGTGCCACCCTGGGAGCATCATGGCACTTTGTGGCATCATTCAACCTCCGGCAGCCCCCGACTCGTACCCGACACATCCAGGTAATGGATATGACGGATGTTATACAGTCAGGTTCATTTGTCGGGCGTAGGTATTGGGCTCCCATCTCCATATCATTTCCATTTGCCACCCATTGAAACTAGTGAGCTAGTAAGGAGGACTTTGCTGCAGTCTCATCAATATATTGTGGCTATAATGTGGAAATATGCAATTATGTGTGATCTGTCCAAAATCAAGCATGCCTTTAAGGAAGAGATGTAGCTTCTTCAACATATTTCAACATTTTCTTCTCGGTAAAATCTCAAGTTAGTGAGTTGGGTGACAAAAGTTCAAATCTCACAAACACTGAACGATGTCTCATGCCCTTTGAAATATGCCGAAAGGTTCATTCCCAGGTCAGCAACTGAATCTACTGTTCCCAGGAGCTTTGGTACAACTTGACTGCATTCTCCCAGCTGTACAGTAGCCCTGTTCAAATTCGGGCAAGTAAGAACCAAAGAATTTTACGCCATAAGCTAGCAGGCTTGTAAGGTTTCAATCCTTGGCCTCCTGTGTGGTGTCATTCTATGGCCCTGAGGTCATGGCTCATGGTGATAGAGCCAGGTAATGGATATGATGGATGTTACACAGCTAGGTTCACTCCTAGGCCACACACTGAATAGTGATGCAGAAAGACTGATCCTGATGCCTCCTCGCAAGGAAAACCTCATCTAATCTCAGGTTGACCTTGGGTTTGGACTCCAATTTCACGAAACAGCAAAAAAGGGGGTCCATAATTCCAACACAATGTGGGCACTTGATATTTGTTATTGACATTCTGTTTAATATATCATATCTATTATCATCCGATAGTAATAACTTCTCTGTACAACTGCTTTGGTTTTAAAATTTGATGCCACTTTCAAGCAAATCGGCTCAAACCAAACTCACAGTCCTGATGAGGCGGACTACTTGAGTACTTTTTAGCTTTGATTGTTGCTTATTTAGTGAGTTGAAGTATCATAATCGGTAGTGTGTGTGTGTGTGTGTGTATCTGGGGGGGGTGGGGGTGTTATGGGTGTGTGAGTATATTTTAGTGTGTGTATTTTTACCTCCACTTTGTGTGATGTAGCGCACCCATGGTAATGCCTGGTAACCGCTCTTCTCTATGATCTTAAGGTAACGTACCTAGGGAACACAGACAAGTCAAATATAGTTATTTCATTCATTCATACACACCAAAATATATATATATACACATGTGTCTATAGGCTGTATGCTTCAGTGTGTTCATGACAGCCCACTTATAGCAGGTGTAAATTACCCCTGTCCATTGAAAACCATGTATCTCTGAATTTGGTGATTTTTAATTTTTCAGACAATTTGAAAGATAAATTGTTCCCTAAACGTTTCAGCAAAATGATCGTACTTCTAAAGCCAAATAAACCGTTTAAAACCCAGTAGATCAACAGAAACGCTGTTTACTGAAAAGCGTTCTGCTTTTCTTACTTGATGAAAGGTTTTGTTTCAGGGATACATGTTTTTCCCAGGACAGTGCAACATTTAAATCACGAAGCACCTTAAGCTTGTTATTCTCAGGTGGGGATCATATATATATATATATATATATATATATATATATATATATATATTATACATTTGACAAAGAAGAAAAGCTAGTGTATGGTTGTTAATAAAGATTACAACCTGAATCCCAGACACCGTGAAATAGGGGATCTCAAAGTCAACTGTGATTGGTCTCTTTGCTTCCAAATCATCACTGTCCACACTGGGCAGCCCAAAGTGCGCCCGCATCGTGTACTCCTTTCCACCCTAGACATGAGAAAATAGAAAAGAGGAAAAGTTACGAAGCCGTTAATTGAAAATTCAGAGTTCACAAACAAGTATTTGACGTTAATTAATACAAGGTTGTTTATACTTTATATTCGTGGCCACGTGGCACAACTCTCATGTAATATCGATCGAGGTGAATGAGATTTATATTCACCATCTGACATTCTTCATACCAGCAATTGTTTAACACATCATCCAAGCATGTAGTCTGTTAGTCTGTACTTTGGTTTTACTTGCTGCAAATCAGTTTTCATATTGACTTGAAAGCCCCTGAAAATTTGGCTTCAAGTCACATTTTCTCTATAACATTTACAATGTACGAGTAAATAAACAAACATCAAAGTTATAGTCTTGAAAAAATTGAGTCCAACACTCAAAAACGAATCTGTGTGGGTCTTATCTATTTAGTTTGATAGTAATCTGGCAACAAAAGCAAACAACCCAGTTATAATCGCTTTTTTATTTTAGTCAAATATTGTATGTTATATGTTCATATACTTATTTGTGGATTGGGGTTTTAAATAGCTGGACGGAGCTGAAAGCTGGTGGACTGTGGAGGAGTCTGTTTTTCAGTCTCTTATGCAATACGTCACCAGTAATGACAATTCTTAACCCTCCTTGACAGACTGAAGGTGTAATGAATTACTGAGAAGATATCAGAACTTGACAGATAAAAGGAGGAAAATTCTCTTTTCTTTTATGCTTTTGGTGACAGCAGAGACTGATACCAAAAACGTGACAGGAAGAGCAGAAGACGGAGAGATAAGATGTGAGCGTGTGTGTGTTTTTTGTGTGTGGGGAGGCTGATCATAATTCGATGAATGGCTGCTGTCTAATACTCAGAGTGAAGACACAACTTATTTTTCTGTCACTGGGACTGATTAAAGCTCATGTAGATATGAGGTATCATCAGTGGTGGAAGAAGTACTCCGATATGTCACTTCAGTAAAAGTAGCAATACCACAGTGTAGAAACACTCCGTTACAAGTAAAAGTCCTGCATTCAAAATTTGTAAAAGTATCATCATCAGAACATAGGGTTTATAATTATTGATGCATTAATGTGTGCATCACTTTAATGTTGCAGCTGGTAAAGGTGAAGCTTATGTTATTTACTTTATATACTGCCAGAGAAGCTTGTGAAAACCCCCCATGGACCAATAATATTTTCTATTATTAGTCTGTTCCGGAGAGGGGACTTTTAACTTAGTTTATCAAATAGATGTTGAACGAAAAGTGCAATATGTGCCGCTGAATTGTAGTGAAGTACAAATATAAATAGCAGAAAATGGAAAGTAAAGTAGTACCTGAAAATTGTATGGTGCTCAAGTAAATGTAATTTGTTACTTTTTATCATATTGACGTTGCCTTTAAAACCTTACAGTGGTTGAATAAGATAGAACCGTCATAAAAAATCAACATGTACTTAATGCATTTTAGGTTATGAACTGTGATAGTTGTTACACTAACAGGGAAAGACTTGATGTTCCACAGCACCACGCTCTTCTCGGGCACCCACTTGGCGGTGCCTGTGCTGGTCTTGAACTTGGGTGAGTCGGCATCACTGGGCACTGGCACCAGAATGGACACATTGTTGGCAGTGGACCGGCTCTTAAACTGACTCCGAGCCTGTAGAAGGTGAAAGAGGACAGAGTTCAAATGTCATCTGAGGCCTTTACAATAAAAAATTTTTTTTTAAAAAAACGAGCAAGGAGGTCTTGGTGATTATGCACCCTGCGGCTTGTTAATTTGAGTCTGTATGGCCGTCACTGCCTAAAACAGATGGTATGCGTCAATCCACCCGTGAAGTATGTGTCGTAAATACTAAACGAGTTTCAGTGAAGGGGCTAGATGAGTGGATAAAGTTGTGGGGCTCTGTATGTGTCTTAATGTTTGTGTGTCACTCATCCTTACCTTCACCTTGATCTCCACACGGCTGTGAGAGAACTTCTCAATCATGCTCTCGATCCATATGAGAGGCTTCACCTGTCAGAGAGAGAGAGAGAGAGAGTGAGTGGACAAGGTCGGAGAGCTAAAGTGTATCACGACAACACACATCACCGGTGACACGGTGGACAGGAGAGAGAGAGAGAGAGAGAGAGAGAGAGAGAGAGAGAGAGAGAGAGAGATTGTGTTTGTACAAGGGAGACAATCGCTGCTCAGCTGGATAGATCACATAGATTTCAGGCACAGCAGCCCCCCTCAAGTATCCTCTGGTTCATTGAACAGCATGTCAGGATGATTGGCAACATGCGGCTTAGCAGACAAGCTGAACCGCAACTTATCTTGAAACATATTAACTGTTGTAGTAACGTGGCATTTTACACAAGCACTCAAACTTAATAGTCTTTCAAATTTGGTCATAAAAGAGTGAAGATATTTACTGAGGCTAAACACTTTGCAGTACAACAATAACATTGATCAATAATGAAGAATATAAAAGTCTAATATGTTTTGTACGAGGAAGATGCGGAAAAGAATTACCTTTCTAGGTTGTGATGGTATCTGTGTTTAAACTTTAGTGCGAGACAAATATGAAGTGTGCTCTTGGTGTTAGTGGTATGCAGGTGGTGTGTGAGTGTGAGTGTGTGTTATAGAGAGCAGTTTGTTTGTGTCCTACTTACTGTGGTGTTGAGGCGGTAGGACATGAGCTCGCTCTCGCCGTCGGGGGGGATGAAAGAGATGGTGCGGTCGTTCTCGAAGCGTGACAGACGGACACACTGATGGAACTTCACATCCTCCAGCTCCACAGTCTTACTCTTCTCTCCTGACACACACACAAACAATACACGCACAAAAGCACACACAAAGATTGAGAGCCTTCCAAGCGGCCTTGGGGAAATCAAGGTCAAGGTAATGATGATTGACAAACATTCACTTAGTCTCTCTCTCTCACTCACACACACACACACACACACACACACACACACACACACACACACACACACACAGTGTGTGCTCTGCCCTTTCCTTGTCCCCCTCTGAACAGTTATTCAGCTGCTACATTCAAACACATACACACACCATCACACAGTCTGTGTGCCTTCAACCTGCTGCGATCATCTTCTCCTGTACTGAAGCCCATTTAGCTGTCTCACAAACACATCCACACCTGCAATAACACACATACAACACAGTAAATAAATATTCTATAATAAAAAAAAACATAGCTGTGTGTTGTTTGTTCATTACTGATTTACTGTTTATGTAATAAATCCGCCTACTACACTAAAGCAGGTCGTTTATTGTGGTCTTATTTTGTGAAATACGCCTACAGTGAAGTCTTTATGAGATGTCACATTGTTTTCCCCACTATATCATTAGTAATACGACTGCTTAAATGCACAACCATTTGTCAGGTGAGGGGTTTAAAACCTGCCCGACACAGATTGCCACATATCTGGCATTTTTGCTGGATCAACAACAAATTATTAATTGATTATAAAATTAGCATTTGACTCATTTTCTGTTAATTGACTAATAAAAACAGCATAGTGAGTATAGTTATGAATATGGTTACCAGTGACCAATTAAGCAGCGCTCACCTTTTATCTTACATTTCTAAAACTATGTAGGAGTACGACAGAGGCTGCTGTAGACAAAAATCAGCAGATTGTGTCGGCTAGAGAATTTAACTTTACCAGACAATTCCTCCCAAGGATGAAGCAAGAGTGCAGCGCTGCTGCAATGGGCATTTAAAAAGTGCGACCTCCTTAATGGTGGCATTTGTAGTCTGCTGGAGAAAGCCTCCTCCTCTGTGGTTAATGGAGGGTGCTGAGTGGTGGAAAACTGCTGTAATGACTGTGGGCCTGTGGGCCTTCAACCAAATCCCCCATTCAACAGCGAGCTTAAAGCCTGCCTCACCTGCTCTGAATGCAACCCTGGACCAGCACTGCCGGGAAAGAAGATATGTGTGCACGTGTACTTATGTATGCAGCTTCCCTGTTCATTGTCCTCTTTCTCTCTCTCGAGTGTGTGTACGTGCATAGGTTTATGCATATTTTCTTCCTTGTTTCTCTATTGATTTTGCTTTGGTGTGTGTTTGCATGTGTGTGTGAGTGTGTGTGTAGGGATGTGTGATATTTCCTCATGCTTGAGAGGGGACTGGCTGAGGTCAGGTCTAGGGAGAGTACAACACTCCTGGACAAGCAAAGCAGGAAAGCCCTTTAGCGCATTTTCTGTCTCTCTAATTCGGTTTGTTTTTATGTCAGTAACACGCACACCTGCATGCAGCGGTATAAACACGACAGGAAAGAAAGGTCGTATGGGACATTCTCTGTCACTGCCAGGACCTCAGGCGCTGGAAAAAAAGACAGGTGTGTGTGTTTGTGTATGTACGTTTGCGTACATGCCAGGTGGGGATTGAAGATGCAGCAGTGTCCCCTGTGGTTCACCTTTAAGGCTGCTTTAATATACAGCAGCAGACAAGAGGAACCTAATCTGTTTTCTGTCTGCTGTAGCACAGTATAAAAAGTGACACAAGGAACACAGGGAACAGTTTCACAATGGCATGTGGAAAATGTTTCTGTCCAAAGCATCATACAGTGCTGTAATATCACTGGACCCAGCGGACAGAGAGACAGGTTAACACAGGCTTCTTAGCATTTAAAGGTTGAGGGCACAGGATACGTAGCGATTGGTGGATTATTTTCTGAAACGAAAAATAATCTACAACTCCTTTTGGTTGTCGATTAATCATTTATGTCATCTGTTCAGCAAACATGCTAAATATTTCTTGGTTCCACTTTCTCAAATGTGAAGACAGGAAACAATACTATAACGGAAATAATCTGCATTTAGTCATTAGAAGATGTCACCTTGGGCATTTTTTTCTCAGCACATTAAAATTGGGATGTAATCAGCAGATTAATTAAACATGAACATCTTAAGGAAAAAAATAATCCTAAAAGCAAACACATCAAACAAACATACAATACCTCTGATGAATAATATGCATTCATTTCAGGGACATGTGACCAGGTGTAGACACTCAAATGTTATAAATGATCAGATATTTTAGTGAAAAGTCCAGAGTGTTTGTCTAAACTGATTGATGTCTAAAAAGTGGCTTTTTGTGGACTTTGTCATTATGAATGCAACTTGTATGAAGTTTCTAGTGACGATTCTGGACTTTTTCCAGCAGAGGGCAGTGTTAAATGACTTATAGTTTTTCTCACATTTTGGAAGCATCCAGCTGTGATAAAATGTGCAGATGAGGCAAACATAATAAATGCCAAATGACTGCAAAATGATATTTAAAAAATAACTGTTGAGGATGAGAGGGCAAAGCATACTTTAACATTTGTATAAACATTCAGCATGAGTGTGTTTGTTGCTGTATCTGTCAGTGTGTTTGTTTGATCGTTATTTGTGATCATCTTTTCTAAAGAAATGTTATTTCCCAGACTGCAAAACACAGTGGGGGGGGGGGGGGTTGTGTGCTGCCATATACAGGATATCCACAGACCCTCACCTTTCATCTGCAGGGCTGTAGCCTGGGGTGAGGATTTACTGAGAGGCAAAGAGGCTAGACAGTGATGAAAAGAGGGAGATGAGAGGGAGAAGGGGGGAGGGGGTGCAGGAATAGACAAGGGGAGACGTAGCAGTGGGAGACGTTATTGGAAAAATTGGGAAAGTAGGAGGAGAGGGAGATGAGGAAGGATGAAAGCTAAGCCGAGAGAGATTTGCAAGAGTGCTGGCTTTCGACAGAAAGAGGAGGTGAAAGTGGAAGTCTGAGGGGGAGTTCAAGGCAAGTGCTCCACCATCAACCAGTAGTACATTTATAATTACATTTTGGCGTTTCAGCATTACTCGAGCAGATTTGTGAAGCAAATTTATATCAAGGGTAAAATATGTTTCATTTAAAATGCAATAAAACTTCCCCTGTTGACAGTTTACAAGTCCTCTGTTAATAATGTCAAATTTTGGCAGCTTGAGATGAATAAAATATCAAAATATTCCTCTATGTCACTCGTGCGTAACAGTCTGTCAGCTGTCAGCTCAGCATGTGAAGTGTACCAATAGCAATTTACAAAGTGGAACAGAAAGAAAGGGACGTCGGATAATGAGATAAAATTGGCCGCTGCCTGATGCTGTACATTTACGCATACAACAACATTAAAACTATACAACACAGTATTTTTTCAAGAAGCATTAGAGTTATATCATCAAACGAAACTGTTGTGTGCTTTGCATTACCTAAGTCAGTGATTCCACACCTTGGGAACATGTACACCGGGCGGTACGTGGGAAGTATTCTAAGATATAACAAAATGATCCACGCTAACCTTTTTTGCCCTCTCTGGGATTCAAGTGAACTTCACTGTCTTTGTGACTCTATTACGTCCTCATTTCATATAAGACATGTATGACACTGAGCATGACTCGCTATTACTTACTGCCTGTTATTTCAAACAGCACTTTGTCGTTGAGGCCCAGTCTGAGTTCAGGCATCCCCGAGAGGACTACTTTGAGCTTGACAGTGCCCACTATTTCACTCCGCAGGACGCTGCCATTGGCGTTCACCTGTAGACAGAAGAGAAAGGCATGACTTTAAACAAGAGTTCACTGTTGTTTAAAATGCTCCTAAAGCTGCTTTGTTTAAATACTGATGTGATACGGATCCGGAGCAGCCATTCAGTACATACAAACAGACTGAGGGACAAGACTGAAAAGGTGTCCTCTTGCAGCTTGAGAAATGTAAGCGAGGTGTTGATGTGAAAGGGGATGAAGAACTGAAAACCTTTTTAAAAAGTCCCCGATCACAGAAAAGGAAGTGGTATTTAATATAATGTTTACTTTTCTACCAAATGATTATTATTACATTGAGCGTGTATAGGGGCATTTTACTACAGTTGTACAAAGTCAAATCATTTTACAGCAGTTACAACATTATAAGTAAGTTGAGACTTTATCAAAAGTTGAAAATGTTGTATAATAAAATCCCTTTTTGAGGAATTAATTCTGACTGATGTACTTCGCCTGCTTACATTGTCTTCAAACCTTTGAAATATGCTGCTGTATAAGTCCCTCCTCACTGCACACAATGCAGAGACGTAAACACCGCACGTTGTTGATATCAGAGACTCTTTACTTAGCAATTCAATTCAAGGAAAGAGACTGTTTGGAGGAGTCAAAACATGCCAGGGCTTTGACAAAGACACGGACGAACCCCACTTGGCTTCAAGGAAGCACTTTGACTTTTTTAAGAAAATACATAATTTCGAATGACGGATCAAAACAGTGGATGATCATGGATGAAGAATGTAGAACTGATACTGGAGTCAATATGATGATGGGTAAGTCATATCTATTAAAGAGTTGATATGTCTATCTACAGTATCTGTTTTGTTTTGCTTCTTGTGATCTTATTCATTGTATTGTATATTCCAGTAAAAGAAAAGAGTTCCTCATTAAATAATAATCATTCATATTATAGTAATATAATACTGTAATATTATTACATTGTAAAATATCATCTTTTAAGTAAACATTAGTGATATGGTGAAAAGAGATGATGCATTAAGTACAAAATAAATGTCTAAGATGTCTGTAACTGTCTGTCTCTTTGCTGAGTCAATTTCTATTTTCTGGAAAAAGTATGATATTGACGTAGCAAAGATTGTCCTCACCAGTAGATTTACTGACTCAATGACGTCCATGAACACTTCGTTCTTCCTGTACTTGATGCCCTCTGACCGCCAGGACACAGCATTAGTGACGGTGGCTGGAGGTCGAGGAGCTCCGATTTCCAATTTATGACCCTGCTGGGTGATGTACCTGAAAGAGACAAAGGCAGAGAAAAGTTGTTTTACTGGCGTCAAACTGTTTTTATCCTGCTGAGTGAAACCCCTGCATACCCATGAGGGCATAGTCCTCATCAAGATGCTTCAGAGAGAGACAGAATCTCAAGTTTTGGAGAAATATCTCAAGATTTTGAAGATAAATAAACAGGAAATTACAACACACCATTATTTTGTATTAATCACACCTCATCACTTAAAATAAATTACCATGTCTAGTGTGAGTAAATTAAAGAAGGTTGGTATTCATGTATGTAAGAAGATTAATCGTGGATGCAATTGGAAAATGGAGATCTGCATGAACCCGTTGTGACTAAAGCCACAGATAATATGACTTACATGCATTTGTTACATGATACTAAACTATCAAGTGTTGCTTGAGTAAATTAAAGTCCAGCATCAAGTGTCTTAAAGAGGTTTGAGCCACAAGGAGATGCCAGAACAGCTTTAATAGGTTTGAATGCTTCTAACATTGGAACATTAGTGGGAGTCCCCCTCCCTTCTGTTTCACATTACATGCATTTATTTGATCCATTGCTGATGGACTGTAGGTTGTCTCTTAATGTGCACAGTACTGTAGGTTGTCTCTTAATGTGGTCTGTACTGTAGGTTGTCTCCTGTACTGTAGGTTGTCTCTTAATGTGGTCTGTACTGTAGGTTGTCTCCTGTACTGTAGGTTGTCTCTTAATGTGCTCGGTACTGTAGGTTGTCTCTTAATGTGCTCTGGCTGTGTCCAGGGCGACATCATGAATAGGAGGGAGCTGTACTTAAACAACATGTGACCAGGCCACCCCCTCTCCCCGACACTTTTCACTTATCTTGGCCTTGTTTCCACTGCAGAGCTCGCTTCTCATTTATGCCACCACATTTTCCCTGCACTATAATGTCTGGGGTATTTATTATTTTCATGCTTTTACAATATACCACTTTACTTACAGTATAAAAACATATCCTGAATAAATGATAGACTTCAATTTTGTTTGTTTGTTTGGCGAGCAAACTTATGTATGTTGGCAATGTGGATTGTGCAATAAAAAAACAAAAGTGCATATTTTCATTTGGTATTCACTAAAAAACAATCACCCTACAAATGACTACTGATCTGTAAAGTAACCTGGGTGGGCAATTCAAGAAAACAAATGGTGTTTTAGATATTTTTGTTAAAAACAATCTGATTTGGTGCTAACTTGATCACAGTGAACCTGCTATGAAGATGAGGCTAATATTCACAAAAGGGCAGGATATAGATGTTTCGCAGACATGTGCCTTAGATCTGCTTACATTGATTTCCATCATTTTCTCAAAACAAAAACATGCGCAACTATTTTAAACTGCCAACACAAATAAAAACGACAGTGACAGTGATCCAAACTGTGTTATCTCCGAGGCAATCCCTTTTCTCCGAACCCCTTTGTCTTTTCTTCTGACCTCTTCTCTTCCCCCTTTCCTATTTGTAGTTGTCCCTCACCTTCTCTTCTCCTCTAGAGGCCTGAGCATTTCCCCCTGAGTCAATCACACACTGACCCAATGTTCCACAGAAAGCTGCTGTCCTCACGCTCCTCTCTTGTAGAAATAAGTGCAAAGCCAGCAGAAGCCCAAACATAGTCACAATGCCATTTTCATAAACCATCTTTTTTTTGTGGCTGTTTCTGTGTGGAAACCCCCAAAAGATCTGCCGGCAACAAGGCGGGTAAAGTGGTACCGCTGCTTGTGATTCTTACCAAATGTGTATGTGCTAGGTCCTTCTTTTCGGTAGACTAAATACAGCAACAGGAATGGTATCTGTGTTCCATATGGAGTTTCTAATTTGAGAAATGGGTTGCACGAAGTTATGCACGGGTCAAACAGCAAAGGTATTAATAATGTGTCTGTCTTAACCCAGACTCATTTCGAGGTTGCACTGTGCTTCTGGTAAACAAAATTGCAAAAGTATTGTACATCTGTGTCATTGATTCAACCATTCAAAGTACTCAAAATACTGATTCAACCGTTCAAAGTACTCAAAATACTGATTCAACCGTTCAAAGTACTCAAAATACTGACGAAACCTGATTCCTTTGCTCAAATAACTAATTGTTCTGTTTTCTTCTTTTCAATATATTTATTTAAACTTGAAACAACAAGTTGTTTTTGTTACTTGTCGGCAGCTCAAAGGAGTTGTGAACACAACTTTGGCAAATCATTTATCTTTTAAGTTGATATGGTGAGTGGCATGGTATGGAAGGAACAGATGCTTATTTACACATCCAGCAGCTACGGAGCAAAATTATAATTCATTTGGAGTTGAGTTTGTGTCCACCAGATGAATGGCAGGCCAGTATTCACTCTTGAGGGAAATATCTGGCTCTTTTGTGGCTCAATGTTCACCAGCTAGTCGCTAACTGTCTCTGTACGCTATTTGGTGCTGAGCAAGAAGTGTACAAATGTCTTATTTTCAGTCCAACTGTACGTTTCTTATCTAACTTCTATGGGAAAAAGTGCTAGATAAACAAGTTTTAGATTGATTGACAGATTAAGGCAAATAGTTCTCCCTAGTTTTCTGTCCCAGTTCCTCCCACCTACAGGGTTGACACGTAGAAAAGTCTGACAGTGTTGAAAGATAAAAGGCGGCGACTAGTGGGCTTGAGGTCGACGTCGGGTTGTTTTGTTGCTTTAGTGTTTGTTCTGTTTTTCCCTGATTCTCTTCAGAAATGCTAATGAAAGGATCTGGAAGCGGGGTTGGCAGCAAACTGACAGATTAGCATAACAATAGCAATCACAACAAACACACACGCACATGCATGAAGGTTCATACGAAGACACACACATGAACAGATTCACATGCATCCCTGCAGTCTCACTTGCTCAGTCTCTTGCATCCTCCCACTCATGCACACAGCATGCAGCATGCAGACAGAGAGACAAAGTGAATGTGTGTATGTGTAGTGTGTGTGTGTGCGTGTTGGTGTGCGTGTGTATGCACAAGAGAGAAATGACTTTTGTGCGTCTCCTTGGAGAAGAGAAGAGCAAGGCTTTTCTGTCTGAGACTCTCGAGTGTGTCCAGCTGACGGTGTCATTGTGTCTGAATGCCAATAGGAGCCTGGTAATTATCAGCACGATTCAGACAACAAACACACATACTATACACACACACACACACACACACGCACACTCAGCCTCAGTCAAGCATTGGTGCACAAACAGCACACAAAATGAATCATCAATCACATACCAAAAAATCCCATTTGTGACATTAAAATAGGAAACAATGCACCGTGCAAGTTTGAACGTTTCAAATATAAGTTCATCATTAATTAGAAGCAAAGCTGATCATGTGCACACAGAACCCATGTTATCATGGTACTGTAAAGGGAACGTTGAGCCTCTCCCTGGAGACAAATGCCTCTCTGAGGAGCCAAGAGGACGGAAAAAGCGAATCAACCCTGTGTACACCATAAACACAAAGACCTGTGAAGCCCAGGAATATAGTTGATTCAGTTACTTTCACTTGCTGAATAGAGGTCCCCCATTCATTATAGCTTTAGTCACTGGCTGTACTTAATAAACAGCAAATAAAGCAAATGGCACTTCAAACAGAATCATTGTGTGCTCTCACTCCCATCTCTGCTGGTCAGCTACAGTATGAAACACACTGCTGTTATCTCACTGAACAACTTTAATGTTTTGTTTTCTGATTGATGACACAGTTACCACTTGAGTTAATGTGGTTACATTAAAATCAGACTGGAGTGCTTTAGTGCAGTACAGCCTTTGAGAGTTTGAAACTTTAACCTCATACCTTCATCAGCCGGATTAATGGTACACACTAAAAAATGCCTGAGCACAGCGTCAACGAACATAATTGATTCAAGTTTGCAAATGTAAAAATGTTGACCTTTTTTGTGGTTTGGAATGATTGTACAGTAACTGTTTCACTTTTAAGAGTAGCCACTCTTAATATTAGGCATGAACATGCAGACACAGCAATTATTATTGTTTTCTTACTCTTGTAGGATCTTGCTGTCAGTTGTCTGAGGGAAACCAAAGTCCATCACTTCGTCCATCAGCTCGTACACCGTCACAAAGTTGTCACGAATACTCTCCTCCTCAAGCTCCTTAAAGTACTCCTTAAACACCTACGGACACATTCACATTTCAGTGTGTTTTGGTAGGGAAAGTGTACATTTATGCCATCTGCTCGCTGTATTCAACAAGCAAAAACCTGTAGCAAAGGCACAGCATCGGATAGATAATATGCAGCGAGGAAACAGCCAATAAATAAGAGGATTAGTTGCACTGGCTGGGCTGGTTGATAACAGAAGTGAACACAAGTAGCAGTAGTTAAAAACTTGGACTAAAGTCTCAGAAAACAGACGCACCTGTACAATTTTATAAAGAAAGGCGTACACCAGGGAAGCGTTTGCATTCTTCTTCGTCATCGCCACCACTGAAGAACGGACTGTTAAGAAATAACTGTACATCTACAAGACAGAGGTATGTAGCAAACATCTATTATACTGTAGGTGGTTAGGAGATGAATGCAATTAAGTAATAAGTTAGCACAATGAATCACAGTCTAAAGCAATTGAGAACATGGCCACAGGGAGGTAAAGCAGCTCAATTGTCTAATGCAGTGCACTGGGAATACCACTTACTCACAACTGCGATATCAAGCTGAATTAATAATGTGTAAGGAAGTTTGACTGCCCAATCTCACATTAAGGGAGGAGGATATATAGTGCATTACACATCACAGTGACTCTGTGTTCAATATTTCAACTGGCTGTGAAGCACGATGTGATGAAACAAGACGCTGAGAAGCTGCCTGCAGCTCAGACCTGAACCTGATGGAGCTGCATAGGGAAGAGAATATTCAGGTGTTAGAGGCTGTGGATCTCTGTTACATTTTTACTCATTTCTCCACAAGTATGACTGTTGGGAAGGCTCTGACATTAAAGTAGAAAGACATTTGTAAAAATGGATACAGTAAAGGTTGCTGTGTTTGATCCACAGGAAGTGTGAGGAACCGTGGGTGGCCAGAGGCGTCACCTCAGCCTCCTCTTCTCTCTTCATCAGGATGGGCATGAAGTGGTCAATCTCATTCATGTCCATGTTCCCCATGTAGTTACGGCAGATTAGCACCTGGATCCAGAATGTAAAGAACAAAAAATATGGAGTCAGAAGATATAGCTACAGAGACACTACCCAGTCATTAAATGTTGATAGCTTTTGGCTGAGATACCAAACCTGAGTGCTCAAGCTTAAACATGCTTCAAGAGCCACTGGCTGACTAAACCTGACCTCATGGATGGAAATGGCACCACTTTCCAGGTCATCTAACCACTTTCCAGGTTCATCTAACAAGGAAATGTGCAAACTGTGTTGCCAATTTCTGATGATGAATTATGAATGCTCACCTTCCTAACATGAAACAGGAGCTAATGCAGACTTTAGCAAAGCTCTAGGGTTTCTCAGGTTTGAAATGATGGCAAACAAAGGGGCCACACCAGCAGCATGGCTATATGGATGGATGGTAATGTCAGTCTGCCAGTGGGTCCACCACTCTGGTTCAGACTGAAATATCTCAATAGCTATTGGATCAATTGCCATAAGATTTTCTACATACATTCATGGTCCCCAGAGGAAGGATCCTACTGATTTGAGTGATCTCCTGACTGCTCCTTCATATGCCACCATGTGGTTTTGAGTGAGATGTCAACAATTATTGAAAAGAATTGCCATGACATTTTGTCCATATATTCATGTCCCCATCAGGATGATTTTGTAATAACTTTGGTGATCTTTGGACTATTTAGTGAAAACATCACTTTCAATCAGTCCAATATTTTGGTTTATGACCAAATAACTGCAAAACTAACGGCATTTGCATCAGCCTCAGCTGTACTTTTTCTTTAGTGCTAATAGAGTGCTGCAAGAATGAGTCCTAGAACCCAGAAATTAGTCAGCATTGTTTCACTTACGGTTCCCTCGTCTCAAAGTCAGTGGGTTTGTTAGATGCCTGAAATAAGGTCTATGGTTAACACATGCTTTAAGATATTTCAATGTTTTGAGCTACGGTATAAAAATCATCAGTAAATACCCCTCCCCTGAATTTTGAAAATGTTATGTCTTAAAAAGGTGAAAGGTGGAAGTAAGTATCATAAACTTGTGTTTACCACAGAGCTATTCTTCTGCAATAATCCAACAATCCAAAGGCTAAGTCTCATTGTCTTTTTGTCAAACATTCAAGTGCGATGCTAACTTCTGGGGTTGGCCTTCAAAAATATGTCAAAAAGTGCAAATATTAGCATTCTAAAATGACTAAAATGTCGGGTTTCCATACAACCACTTTCTCTTGTCTGTATGTTGAATCCTCCTCTTTGTTATTGAGTCCTTACATTTTCCAGAATGGCGTTCAACGGTCTAAAAAGAGCAAGAACCTGTTTGTAATAAAGAGGTGGATGTGGGCTTTTAATACAGCTAGCTAGTCAATTACTTATGGACATGTCTATGAATGCAGCCTTTCCCCAATACTAAAAATAGAGCCTCTCATGACGGCATACCTTCTGTTCTTTTGAGACTAGTGTCACGAGAGATCTTAATATATAACGGCTGAATGCAAACAGCTGAGTTTGTAAGAGACGCCCTCTTTCGAAATCCTGACATTTACTAAACAAACACTTGGATCACACAAACAAACTCCAAAACGATGTTTTTGTCATGTTAAGTCATGGGTTACAAGTGATTACAAAAGACATTTACCAAAATTGACAGAAACATAGGCCTACATGTTTATATCACAGACCTGCACAACTGTAATGCATTTTAAAATCATTTCTGACATATTCTTGAAGATTCACTTCATTTAGCCGCGAGAAACAACTGCACACTTTCCTAACCTTAATAGAAACACACACACATGCAACAGGATGAGTCAGCAGTCTTGCTGGAGTCCGGACACACAGAGTGAAGTGAAAAAAGAGATCAAAGCTGATACGCTTGAGGGATCTAGATAACACACACACACACACACACACACACACACGGGCCCCCCCCCCCCCCGTCTTCAACGTTGAACTGGGGTCACACTAGGGCACATATAACAAAGGCAGGAGGAAATAAGAAATACAAAAAAGGAAATGCCAGGAGAGTAAAGTAATCTGGGGGAGAAAAAAGGATATGAACAGTTCACTGCTCAGCTTCTGTGAGAGGAGACAGACATCACAGAGTGAAGAGTTCAGAGGTCACTAGAGACAGAGAATGAGGTAGTCAAATCAAAAAAGAGCTGCAATACTGAAGACCCCGAGAAAGGTATCCAGAGGTGACTTTCTAGTTCTGGATGTAAACTTTGCTGAACAAAAACAGAAAGTGAAAGTATTTTTACAGCCTCAGCTGGCGTATACGGTTGTATTTTATTCTATTTAAAGCTTGGTTGTTGGCCTTTTGGCAACATTATCTAAAGGGATTTAAGATAGTCTGTTTAATCAATAACTGTTGCACCATTGATAAATGAAACAAATGGTTCAAAACAACAAAATACTCATCCACAGCCCATACTGCACTTAATGAGCACCTACAGAACATTGCAGTTAAAAAGCAAAACAGGAACACTGCATGTTGGTGCCACCAATATATCAGTTGCAAAGATCAAAGGCCCGATGTTGCACAAACTTCAAACTTATGAGTAGGAAGAAATCATTCGTAAAAGACTAGTTTCCACCTACACAGAGTAACATCATGACTGTGTTCCAGTCATTTTAAATCAAATACGTTTATGATGAAAAGTAGTGACACATTTGTTATTGACTATTGTTGCCGCTGTTTCTAACTCCTCGCTGTCGGTATATTGATGTGTGTTTGACTTTATTTTGCTAAGTGACAATACATTCTGAATGAGGCAGGAAGCTGTGACAATTACGGCCTCGCTACGATCACAACGATGATTTAGAATAGCTTGTGTTCCACCTTTAGGAGTCAACATATTGTCATGTTGTCAGCTGGTTTCGAATGTGTGTCAGTTACACTCATTTTAGAAAGGAAAACATCAGATAGCGTTGTGTATTCAGCAGAGGCAGAACACATCAAACAGAGCACCTCACACAAACAGTTAGCATATTTCATGCCCCGGAGCAGAGCGCAGCTGCTTAATAATCCAGGTCTCATTAAATTCTACTGCGAGTGTGTTAAGACACGTCTGGTATATGTGTTGGCATACAAATACTTTCAAAAAAACAGTACGTCTACATCCCTTCATTACATTGATTCCTGCAAATCTAATTATATGTGACAAAAAAGGGGTTTACATAACAACAGGTTAGTAGAAGATTAAAGTTTTAATAGAAAAAAAGTAATGAAATAAGCAGCAAAAACAGAAACAAAGAAGGCAGAGGAGGGTAACAATGAATACCATTTTCAAACTTGAACACTGAAGAATGGCACAAAAGAGAAATGATGTATAACTTAAGTAACCCTGTTTTAAATGGCATTTATTTTCTTACAGCAGGGATCCATTGCGGGTTGAACCCAGAAGAATCATTTGTGTTGTTGTACTTGAATTTCCCAAAAGCAACAGCAAAACGTTTTCTCTTAAAACTATTGGTGGCTTTAAAACACTTGTCCTACTGTATCACTCAACAACCGTTTTGGAAAACAATCACAGCACAAACCTTTAAGCATAACTCCATAACCCTCTGAGAAAAACAGAGCAGAATAATACTGATATTTTAGAGCGACATGGCCGTCAGGAGTTAACGGTAGCTTACTTGTAGACAAAATAACGGCACATTGAAGGCTGTAAAAAGATGACTCTGAGTTAGTGCATCAATAGCAACCATTCAACATTGTGCATGCTCACAGTGCCTCTTTTTAGCTAGAGGTTCATTGCTGCTCAAGACGCCCAATTCAACAAAACGAATGCACTAGCAAGCGTGTCTGAACAGTTCACACACACACACACACACACACACACACACAGTGCTCGAGCACTGACTTGTGAGCGAACAGCCAACACAGATTCTCCTCTCTGGAAAATCAGGGCAAAGGTCTTGCATGCCTAGTTTGGACTATAGGCATTATCTGTTGTGTTTACCATGTTCACCATCGTAGCTTAGCATGTAACATTTGCTAATTGACACCAAACATAAAATATTGATAAGACTGATGGGAATGCCATTTGTTTTGCTGGTATTTTGCCAAAAAACAAACCATTGGACAATTTAAACGTTTGACCTGATGATGAAAGAATCAGCAAAGTCAAGTCACAAATGTCCGTACAAAATGTTATAGCAAGCCATTATTAAAAAGTTGCTGAGATATTTCAATCAGGAACAAAGTGATGAAACTGGTGAAAATGTGGAGGAACGTGCGCTGTTCCTGATAAATAAATACACTCAAAATACAACAAGAAAATGAACCGTAGCTCTTTTGGGACTGTTGAACCTCACACTTGTATGCTTCTAATGAAATGTGCTGCTTCTCATTACAACCCAAAAACTTCACTGGGAACAAATGATGCCATGCTGATTTCAGTAGCCTGACATTTCAGTCCACCTCGCAGGTCCATGTAGCCAGCAGCCTGCGGTCTATAGTGCCCAGGAGCCACAACTCAGGGGAGGGGGGGGGGGGGGGGGGTAAAGGGCAGAGGTGGAAAATGTAGCTTCTGTAGCAGCTGTGTGTTTTCAACTGTGTCTGGAACTGTGTGTACAGGAGTGACCTGGCTACCTGACCACGACTGGTTTTGGTTGATTGCCTCTCTCAAATTATTTTCTTCAGATTTTTGATTGCAACTGCATTACAGCAGCTATACGGGACAGAGGGAGGGAAAGGACTGAAGGTTAAGAGCTACTGACTTGCCCCGGGGCACAGATAGATAGTTAGGGGGAGAGACAACATTGAATCTGCACGAGCAGACATCCAGGCTATGAGGACTGATCCTTTTCCCCCGTGGGTATTGTCAGGCATCAGGCTTCTTCATACACGTAAAACCTGTAAAACCTGATGAAGTAATCCTAAACCACAGCATATTTATATAACAATTCAAATGCATTTTAAAGAATGTTATTTTTCTAATACTATTAGGGATGAAACGGAGGATCATTTATATTGTCAATTATGCTACCTATTACTTTCTCAAAAAAAAAGCTATAAATGCCAAAAAGAATTAAAAAATGAGTCCACGGTTTCATCTTCAAATTGTTTGTTTTGTCAGACAAAGAGTTCAAAACCTAAAAAGATATGGTATAAAAGCTGAGTCGATTCGTCTAAACTATTGTGATGGATACATTTCGTTACATTTTTGCTTATTAATGATTAATAAGCAAAAATGTAACAAAATGTATCCGTAGGCTTCTTATAGTGAACTGAATACCTCTGGGTGTTGGACTGCTGTTTGGGGACAAAACAAGCAATTTGAAGACCAAGAAAATGATCGACAGATTAGTTGTTGATCTATGTTATTAGTTATTGTAAGTTACAGCCCTAAATGAGGTTTAGCAAATTCTCCTATTTGAAAAGCTGGTGGCATAATGTTTTGATTTATCAAAACTGTAACTATAATCCATTCAGTGCTTCAGCACTACATAGTCTACAAGTGCCTAATATATGGGTTTGTCTCTCAAAATGCATTTCTAGTGAATGTCAACCTCCTGTCCAGACACAAGTTTGGCAATATGTTAAATTAATATTAAAGCCACTGTCATTTTTAAAGGATAACCTATTGGGCTGTAAAAAGTATTAGGTTTTAAACTCTGAAATTGGACACATCGGCTACAATAAAGGCTGCATCGCTGCACAAAAACAAGCCCTCTGTGTTGGACTCAACGTTGATGAAACGAGTTTGGCCAGTTGCGCCTCTCTTCCTGAATGCTCTCTGTCCTACATGTGCGCGCACATACAAGCAGTAAGTTACACACGTACTTCGATTTCTGGACACAATATATGCTGACGTACTCTTACAGCAGGTGTTGCGTTGACAGCCCAGATGTCAACTTTCCCCCCAACAACAAGTTGCCACAAACTTCACGTTACCTTTCCCTTCAGGTCGAGAATAAATATTGCCGACGCCGACATCTTTGGTGGAGAAAAAAAAAATCCTCAAGAGCAAGAACCAGCCGAGATAATATATGTAGGTCTACTGTCAGATATGGGTCATTTAAGAGCGGTAAGATTCACTCCCATCCTCCTCCTCCTCCTCCTTCCTCTCGCTCTCTCTCTCTCTCTTCAGTCGTTAGGGTCTCGACTCGCTGATTTTCCGGAGCGGAGCATCAAGTTAGCTGTAGTAACAGTCACGCAACTTCCGGGGATTAGTGAGGGGATTTCTTTTTAATTGTTTTATTTTAATTCACCCAACATTACTAATGGTGTAAATTAAGCAACTGAGATGCCGACATTTACTCAAGCACTGTATTTAAGTAATACTTTTAGTATTAATAAAGATAATAAAGATTTGAATCCCGTACTTTTACTGGTAATGTTGTATTTTTTACATTTATTGCTACTTTTTTTTAAAGTAAACTACAATACTCCATGACAGAGCAAAGTATTGATGGCTATGTTTTATTCACTCGCCTATTTGAGAACAGGCTATTTACATTTCCCAATAAAATGTTAAACCAAAACATATGATAGTATTACTCCTGTAAAATACATTAATATATATGTACTACCCAACAGTATGCAGTTAAATAAGTTCAACCTTAACATTTAGAAATTTGACACAAGTTATGAGCAACATTTATGAAAATCAAATAGCCTATACTCATTATCTAATAACAGAACCTTCTGCATAAATACTTCCAATTTTGATACGTAGGTCTGGTCTACTTTTTCCGAGAAGTCTGATAATACAGAGCTTACTTGCAATGGAGTACTTTTTTTTTGGAAGGATACTTTTACCTATGTACAGGGTCTCAATACTACATTTAAAAAATCCAGCTGTAGAATATAATCCCCTAAATATGTTTAAACTGAAGTGGTGGGTTTATTATTTAAATAATCCTCCAACAGAAGTAAATCAAAAAATGTGACTGAAGTTAAAGTACTAAAGTATTCAAAATATTCTAGTAAGAACAAAAAAAAAACCGTATCATGCAGAATGGCCCATTTCAGTATGATTATATATTATTGGATTAAGATTATTGATCAATGAAGCCGTATCGTTATCCATAATACTAATCATTTATTTGTTGATCATATTTTGTATTATTAATCCGACTCTAACATGTAGTGGAGTAGAAGTAAGCCCCAGTACAAGAGTAAATGTACTGAGCTAAAGTCCGCCACTGCTGATTAAAATGGATTTATTCATCCACACCCCAAATACCTAACAATTTCAAATATTGCACGTTTATTTTGAAGGCAGCGTCACTATTGTTCCGGTTTTGCTGTGGCTCGTTTAGGTGAGCTTGACTCCTCGTGTTTCCGGGTAGAAGCCTCGCCTGTCAGCCTCACGCAGAGCTGTCAAACCGCTCTTATCAGCTGGATGTCTCAGCGGATCCCTAAACGCTCCAGGCGTCTTTTCGAGTCACAGTGTCAGCCTTCATCACTGTTGTTGATATCAGTGTTGTACAGTTTAAAACGAAAGGTGAGTGTGCGGTTTCTAGTCCCAAGACAATCACCACCAAACGGTGGAGAAACTAGTCCGCAGAAGTTTGGAGTCCATTGTTCGGATTTTGAAACATACTTGACCCTTGAGTCCAGGCGACACTGTTTCTAGATTTTATTGAGGTCACACCGTTTACAATTTCCTGACCAAACCATGTGAGGCCTATGAAGTGTGCATGAAGTACTGAATGCATACAGCTCCAATCATTATCATTCCAAAAATAGCAGCCAAGTGGAGAGTAACTAGTTACAAGCAGGCTAATGCTTTTACTATATTTGAGCCAGCCTACTTTTTTTATGTAGCAGTAGTTGTGTCTTTTTTTTCAAACGGCACGTTGTACTTTCTAGCACAAACAAAAAAAATCACAATGTACACTGATGCTGTAACAACCCAATTTTAGAGATATCAAATGAATTTAGCTTTTCTGTGGTAACGCTATGAAGTGATCTGCCTGAAAGCTCACTTATGAGGGAACGATGGGCAGCATGTTGCAGAGCATCACAGTATCCTTGTGTCGCTCCGTTGCTGCTCAGAGCACTTTATACAATGTGAGAACAGTTGAACAGGCTTTCAACTAAATGCCAAATTGATCTTCAATCATGTCATACACTTATCTATACCTTTGCTTATGCGTCACTGACAGGAGATGGCAATGCAAAGTGAAATGCTCCTGTTTGTATTCAGCACAACTGTGGTTATTTGTATAAATCATACACATTTCTTTTTCATAATCTTTGATGTCAATCAATCAACCAACCAATACAACACTGATCAACAGATACAAAGATAATTGGTTTATGTCCATATTTACAAACGACCCCTTGACCTCCTTTTCACAAAAAAAAAAAAAGATGATTCACGACAAAATATCACAACAAAAAAAAACTATTATTATGACTGCGACTGTTACTGCTGTCAGTGTACTGACAAATTAGAAAAAATGACTTATCTTTATATTTTTTGGGGGACCTGGAGAACTGCTGACTTAATAATGTACCTTGCATTAAGTCTTAAAATGACACTCTTGATCACTGCTATTAACATGTGTATGCTTTCCTAACCCTTTTCACCCATTCTGTGATAGACGATACGAATCTTACTCACAAATAAAGAAAAGGTGGGAGTGGAATAGTTTTGTCAGGGGTTTACATAGCTGAGGAGGTGTAGAGACAGTCCCGCTAAGTGATGGCAAATTCAATTTCATCCATCTCTTCCTCCGTGTCCTCCGTGTCCTCCATGTTCTCCGCTGCTCTTTCAGCCCTTGCTCTCTCACTGGCCGGGATGTAGTTGTCCTCGATGAAGCCGTCGTCGTCTTCCTCGCTCACGGGAGGGATACAGTGGGGGTTGATTCCACGGCCCCTGTGCATGGCGAATTCCACCTCCAGGCCTGGAAGCAGTGATAGAAACACAAGAGTTGTGTCATCTAAAGGTAAGTCCTTTAAGGCATTCTAACTGGCAGTATGGTCCATCCGTCCGTTATTTAACGGCTCATCCTAATCTGGCAGGGTCACCGGGGGGGGGGGGGGGGGGGGGGGGG